CAGAGCTAAGGCCCGCGAGTTTGCGAGGCTGCAGTGTAAGGGCGATTGGGGTGAGCATGAAGGGTGCTGAGTTGGGGATCTGGCAATTTGCCAGTGGCAAGCCGGGACTGGGGGACATGGGGAAGGGGCCCCCTAGGGGTAGGAATGAGGATAGGTTGGCGAGGAGCCCAGGGGTGTGGCCAGATGAGTTCTGGAGTTGGGGAGTTGCGTGCCCGTGGAGGCTGAGCTCCTGACGCCTTGACCTTTCCTCTTACGTAGCTGTCGCTGGCTCTCGCGCGGGGACAATGGGCGCTTCGGCTCGGAAGCGGAAATATGAAGAGGGGCTGGACTTGAGCCAGCTGCCCCCCGAACTGCTGCTGGAGGTCTTGAGCCACGTGCCCCCGCGGTCGCTGCTCGGGAGCTGCCGCCGGGTGTGTCGGGGCTGGCGCGCCCTGGTGGACGGCCAGGCCCTGTGGCTGCTGATCCTGGCCCGGGATTCGAGCGCCGAGGGCCGCGCTCTTCTGGCTGTGGTCCGCAGTTACTTGCCCGCAGTCCCGATCGCCCTGGCCCGCTTCTGCGAGCGCCGACCAATCGGACGAAATCTTATCCGCAACCCTTGCGGCCAAGGTGGAGTCTCCGCTGAGAGGGCCGGAGGGGGGTAGCTGAGGCGGGGCCACTCCTGGAAGTTCGGGAGGTAGAGAGGGGGAGGGGAGGGGGGCTGGGCTGTGGGTGGTCATTTCGTCAGTTTCGCGTGTGCTGGAGTACAAATGCCCCATAGTTTCGCATGGAGTCAGTTTCGCGTGTGCTGAGTACAAATGCCCCATAGAAATTTCAAAGCTGCGACGTTTCAGAAACACGTCACCTGGCCAGTCTAAGAAAGGCCATACAAGTGCAAGCTTTTTTATTTTAACAGAAGGCCTTCGGCAATGGGTGGTTGAGCACGGTGGGGACGGCTGGGTGGTGGACGAAAACAAGACAACCATACCTGAGGCCCCAGCGCAGACCTGCTTTGTCAGTTCTTACAGGTGAATGCCTCTCTGCTCCCTGGGGCCACGGCTTTTCAAGGGAGGAGTTACCTGTTCTCATTGCCTCTGCTTCCGCCTTCCTAGATGGTGTAACAAGAAGCAGGTCTTGGACCTGGAGAAGGAAGGTCTCTGGCCAGAACTGCTGGATAGTGGCAGAATTGAGATTTGCATCTCTGACTGGTAAGTGCGCTGGAGTGATGTCATTTAGACTTCCCAACAATCCCTCTCAGAAGAGACTGAAGTGACTTAATCACTTCAACTGACCTCTAGTAATTAGTAGAGTGTGCAACCTTGTCTAAGGAGCTCTTGTAGCATAGTAGTTACGAATCAGGCTGCTAACCTCAGGGTCATCTGTTCGATACTACCAGCTGTTCCATGGGAGAAAGAGGCTTTCTGCTCGCGTAAAGATTGACAGCCTCGGAAACCCTGTACGGGGTTACTCTGAGTCGGAACCGACTTCACAGCACATAACAACAACAACGACCTTCTCTGGTGTTGCTGTATCTGCTATAACAGAAATACCACAAGTGGATGACTTTAACAAACAGGAATTTATTTTCTCACGATTTATGAGGCTAGAAGTCCAAGTTCGAAGCACTGGCCCTGGAGAAAGCTCCTTGTTTCCTTTCTTTCCACAGACCCAGCATTCCTTGGAGATCTCCATGTGTCATTCCCTTTATAATGCTGAGACCTCAGTTTCAAAGGACATACTCCACTCAGCATTTCTTTCCTGGTGGTAGTGGATTCCTCTGAGCTCTGCTTGCTTGTTTGAGCTCTTTGATGTCTCAAAAGAGATTGATTCAAGGTCCAACCTAATCTGTAAATTGCATTCGGCCTCATTAACCTCATGTTGTTAAAGTGCCATCTAGTCAGTTCTGACTCATAGCAGACTTGTATAGTGTTTCCAAGGAGCAGCTGGTAGGTTTGAACTGCTGACTTGGTGGTTTGCAGTCCAGTGTTGATCCTACAGCGCCTCCCCAGGAGTCCAAGTAACCTCATAGAAGTGAGGATCTCAATACATAGGGTAATTATGTCAAATCAGAGCTTAGATCTCACTATGGAAGATTACTTGCTCTTAACTATCAAACCGTTGGAAATTGGGCTGACTAAGTTGATAGAGAACCTTAACTATTGCAATCTTGAACCTCACTCCTCACTCCCAAAGGGGGATAGACTGAAGAGTGGCAGCTTGGATCCATTACTTTAAACGTTGATTCCAAGTCAGTCTAGTCTGTGACTGAGATAATTCTCTTCTTGTTGTGTGCTGTTGACTTGATTTTCAGTTTATAATGACCTCATGTGACATACTAGAACTGTCCCGTAGGATTTCAAAGTTCTCAGAAACCCTATACAGGGTCAATATGAGTTGGAACACAACTACAATCTTCACAGGAGCAAATTGCTAAATTTCTTCCTCCCACTGAGCACTGGCTGGGTTTGAACCTCTGACCTATCAGTTTGCAGCTAAGCACTTAGCCACTGTGCCACCAGGGCCCCTTGCCTTACTAGGAGGTAATATAGCAAAATTGGCTAAGAGCTGGGGTTGTGGAACCAGATCACCAAGGTTCAAATTCCAGCTCTGCAGCTATCTATACCATTGGATTAAATCACTCTATTCCTCAGTTTTCTTCTCTTTACAGGGTACAGTTCTTCTAAAGACCGTTATTCATGTCAGGTACATCACAAGTGCTTTTGTAAGCATGAGCTACGTTAGTGGTTTTAAAAACTTTGCTCTGATCTTGTGATGGTATGGTTAGGTGCCGTTGCATGGGTCCTGATTCATAGTCACCCTGTGTACAATGGAACAAAATGCTGCATGGTCCTTCACCGTTCGCACAGTTGTTGCTCGTTTGAGCCCATTGCTGTGGTCACTGTGTAGCTCTGTCTCACTAAGGGTCTTCCTCACTTGATTTCTTGACTACTACTTCCACTGATATTGATTGTGGATCCAAGTAAAATGAGTCCTTGACAATTTCAATCTTTTCTCCAGTTATCATAATGTTGCTTATTGGTCTCCTTGTAAGGATTTTTGTTTTCTTTTTGTTGAGATGTAATCCATACTGCAGGGTGTATGTTCTCTTTGGTCTTCATCAGTAACTGCTTCAAGTCCTCTTGGCTTTCAGCAAAGAGGGTTAGATCATCTACCTATCTAGTTTGTTAATGAGCCTTTCTCTAATCTTGATGCTATGTTCTTCTTCATATATTCTGTTTTCTTAGATTATTTTCTCTGCAGACCGATAGAATAAATATGGTGAAAGGATCCAACCATGACACATACCTTTCCGGATTTTAGACCTCTTTTTTCTGTTCCAGTGGCTGCCTCTTGGCTCCTCATGAGCACAATTAGATGTTCTGGGATTTCCAGTCTTTGTAAGGTTATCCATAGTTTGTTATGATCCACACAGCCAAATGCCTTTGCAGAGTCAGTAAAACACTGATAAACATCTCTCTGTTATTCTCTACTTTCAGCCAAGGTCCTTTTGACATCAGTAATGACATCCCTCATTTCACGTCTTTTTCTCGATCCGACTTGAATTTCTGACAGTTCCCTGCTGAAATTCTTATTAAATTATCTTCATCAAAATTTTGCTTGCATATGATGTTAATGATATTGTTCAATAATTTCCACATTCTGTTGAATCATCTTTCTTTGGAATGGACACAAACACGACTCTCTTCCAATCAGTTGACCAGGTCTTTCAAATTGCTTGGCATAGACAAGTGAACAGTGTTACTACAAATCTGCTTGTTGAAACATCTCAGTTGGTATTCTGCCAATTCCTATAGCCTTGTTTTTTACCATTGCCATCAGTGAAGCTTGGACTGCTTCCTTCAGTACTATTGGTTCTTGATCATATGCATCTTTTGAAATGGTCCAACATCAACCAATTATTTTTGGTACTGTGACTGTATGCTTTTTCTATCTTCTTTTGATGATTCCTACATCATTCAATACTTGCCCATAGAATTCTCCAAAATTGCAACTCAAGGCGTGAATTTTTTTCTTCAACTCTTTCAGAAAAGGAATGCTGGTGGTGTTCTTCCCCTTTGGTTTTCTCACTCCAGGTTTTTGCACATTTTATTATTTATTTTGTTTTCTCTAGCTGCATTTTGACACCTTCTGTTTAGCTCTTTTGCTTCATTCCTTCTGTTTGCACTAGCTACTCTGTGTTCAAGAGGAAGTTTCAGAGTCTTGTCTGACATCCATTCTGGACTTATTTTTTTCCCTGTCTTTTAAATTAATTACCTTTTGCTTTCTTTATAGATGATGTCATTCCACAACTTGTTGTCATTCCACAACTAAGCTGGTCTTGGGTCATTAGTGTTCAATGTGTCAAATCTATTCTTGAGATGGTCTCTAAATTCTGGTGACATTTACTCAAGGTTGTATTTTGGTTCTCATGGACATGTTTTAATCTTCTTCAGCTTTAACTTGAACTTGTTTATGAGCAATTGATGGTTCTTTCCGAAGTTGACCCCTGGCCTTATTCTGACTGATGATTTTGAGCTATTTTATTAGGAATTGAGTGAAGGTTTACAGAGCAGATCATCAGTTTTACATTCAATAAATCATATACTTTGCTTCATTACAATGATTGTAATCCCGTCCCTGGACCATCAATTAACAGTGTTTATCTTTATTCACTTTAATGCTTGCATTCTTCTTTGTGTCCCCATGTACTTTCATCTTTCCTCCACCAACCTCCCTCTTTTAAATATTGTCTGCCCCATCATCTGGTGTTAACTAGCCCATAATTTCCCCTCCCTTAGCCCCAGTAACCATCACAGAATGCTTCTTTTAGCAAGAAAAACTTTTCTTAACTTTTTGCAACAGTGATCTCATACAATATTTGCCCTTTTGTGATTGGCTAATTTCACTCAGTGTAATAGTCCTCCAGGTTCATCCATGTTGTGAGGGGTTTTACAAATTCATTGTTATTCTTCAACGTTGTGTAGAATTCCATTATATGTACCTAAGTTTGTTTAACTATTCTTCTATTGTTGAGCATTTAGACTGTCTCTGTCTTTTTGGTATGTCTCTTGCAGACAGCATATTGAAGGATCCTGTTTTCTTATCCATTCTGCTCTGTCTCTTGATTGGTGCATTTAATCCATTTACATTTAGTGTGATTATCAATAGGTATGATTTCATTGTTAACATTCTGCTGTGTTTTTCTGTGGTGCTGCTGGTCTTTGTTCCACATAATTTTCTACACTAATTATTTTGTTTCTGGGTTTTCTTTTCATTTTCATTTCTGTTATGCTAATGTTTACACTAAGAGCCCTGGTGTGGTGCTGTGAGTCAATGCACTGGACTGCAAAGTCGGTTTGAACTGTAAGTTCAGCGATTCAAGCTCACCAGCTGCTCCTTGGAAACCCTATACAGGGTACTATGGGTTGGAATTGACTCGACAGCACTTAACAACAACAACAACAATGTTTACTAAATCTTTCTGATTTTCCTCTTCTTAATTTTGTATTCATTTTTTCCTCTGAGGTTACCTTACATTTTATTAATTTTTTTCCCTATTTCAAAGTATCTGTTTTATCTTGAAATCTACTTGATTTCCTCACCATTTGAAAGTTCTGCATCTGCACTATTTCTTCTTTTTGTTTCATTATAAATGGATAGCACTGGTTCCCTATTGTCAGTTTTGTAGGTTTGCTTTCCTTTGGGTACTTTTATATGTGGATTGAATTCTGGCCGGTGTTGTCATATATGTTAATCTCAGGTTATTGTCTTCTGTTGTTGGTGTTCCGTCCAAAGGACACCTTTTTACTATTTTTTATAAAGTTGGTCTGGTCATTGCAAATTCCATTCATTTCTGTTCATCTGGAAATGCCATCATTTTGCTGTTGTGTTTGAGAGACAGCTTTGCTGGGTATATGATTCCTGGTTAACAGTTTGCCTTTTTACCTACATGGTTTCTGATGAGAAATCAGAACTTAAGTCTTATTGGTTCTCCTTTGTAGGTAATTTTTAACTTTTCTCGGGCTGCTCTTAGGATTCTTTCCTTGTCTTTGGTTTTGTAACGTTTGACTATGATATGGCTTGGTGATTTTCTTTTGGGATCTATCTTATTTGGGGTTTGTTTAGCTCCTTTGTGCTTCTCTTCTTGTAGTTCATGATGTTAGAGAAGTTTTCTTCCAACAACTTTTCGACAGTTTCCTCTGCTTTTTATTACCTCTTCCTGTTCTAGATTTCTGATCACCCGTAATGTGGCACACATAACTCTTAGGCTTTCTTCAGATTTTTTCCTTCTTTTTTCTGATTGTTCTTCAAGCACACTAGTATTGAGAGATTTGTCTTTAAGCTCACGAATTTGGGTTTCGATTGCTTCAAAAACTACTCCTTTGCTCTTTTATTGTATTGTCCATTTCTGATATCTTAGTATTGATCTTCCGGATTTCTAATGACAGGTTTTGTATTATTTCAAATTTTCCATTTATTTATTTATTTGTTTTTAAGTTTTTATTGTGAACTGAGTGATAGTTTACATGGGAGAACATCGGTTTTACACCATTGTTTCATTGCAATGATTACAATCTCCTCCATGCTTCATCATCCAACAGTATTTGCTTCCATTCCCTGTTTTTTTGTTTTGTTTTGTTTTGGGAGTCGGGGCGATGTACACAGAATATATAATCATTTAAACAACCAAAGGGCACAGTCTGCAAGCCTGCTGCCTAACCGCCAGCACCCAGTCCCTCTCTTTCCTTGAGTCCAGAGTCCTCGTCTTTCCATGTCCTCATCTCTGCCTCCATCTCTGGTGTCCCTGCTTCTCTGGATAGGGTCCCACACTCTGCTTGTTCTCTTCTCTCATGATGGTCCTAGGGTCCTCTGTTTCTGGACTGTAAGATTACAAAAACTACTCCCCCATTTTTTGTTACAAAACTTCTACCTTAACAGTTGTGACAGTCACAATTGGTCATGATAACAATTTCTCACTATTGAATCATAAGAATCTTATCCCCATCTCTTTTCACCAGACCCGTCTAGACAAATTGAAAACTATTCAATGGGGACTCTACCGTCTCCCACTTCCATTCATGCAGCTCAGTTTAGAAGGGTTTGGCTAGTGTTGGCTGTTATCTATTGTTGATCAGGTGATATCGGAGTTGGTATTGGCTTTTGTCCAGTGGGTAGAGCTGCAGAGGGTGGTACAACTGTGACTGGGCTTTATGGGCACGGTTGCTGTCTTCTTTTCCGTCACCTGTGTAAATCTGTTCTGCTAGGCCACTTTCTGTTGGCCACAGCCGCTCACGAAAGTTCAAGATGGCCGTGACACGTCTAGCTGGCTCTTCAGTAGTCACTTTCCCTCTCTTGTCAGTTTCTCCTCCCAGCAAGCACTCGGTCCACTTCTGTCACCTTTCCTCTGAAGTTCAGGGTTCCAACCAGGATTCTTACCTGTGGCTGTTTCATTTGGTCTCTCGTATCTTCATAGTGCGTCTGCCTACTCCACCATCTTGCCAGAAGTTCTCCAAATTCACTTGTAATCAAATCGCAACAACCTCCCCCGATCCCATCTCATGAAGGGATAGATTTCTAATATAATTTTGATTGCAAAATATACAAAAATATATTAATATTTCATTAAAATAGAAATCTGAGAGAAGTGGAATGGAAATTCAACTGTAAGGAGACGAGAGAAAGATGCAGAAGTCTCTATTAAAGAAGATACTTGTTTATGTGTTTTTATAATCCATTATTGTTTTTAAGCTTTCACATTTTATCTTCTAGCATCAATAGTGCACATCTATGGTGTGCAGCTCAATGAATTATCACAAAATGAACACCTCCATGTAGCCAGCCTACGAACAGAATGTTAGTGTGCTAACAACTACCACAAAACCCCTTTCCTGTTACTGCCTACCAAAGGGTAACCACCATCCTCATTTGTAGTACCATTTTCTGGATTTCATATAAATATTGTAGTTTTTAAGTGCCATCAAATTGGTTCCAACTCATAGTGACCCGGTATAGGGTTTCTGAGGAGCAGCTGGTGGATTTGAACCACCAGCCTTGTGGTTGGCAGTCCATTCTATAGTGCCATACAAGACTTCTCATATATCTGACTTCTGTTACTCAATTGCATGTTTGTAGAGTTTTCCATAATTGTTGTATGTCGCTGTAGGAAGTTCACTTTCACTGTAATAAAGCGTTTCTTTATGTGAGTATACCATAATTTTCTTCTCTTCCATTGATAAAATTGGGTATTATTGATTTTTTTTTTTTTTTAAGTGTTGCTGGGTATCACATCACCAATTTAATTAGATTCCATTGGATCCTTTTAAATAATATGAAAATTGTATCTTAAAACATCACTATTACAAATATTGGAAATCAGAAGCTTTGGAATCATCAGAGGTAGAATGTAAAAGTTTATTTGTTTTCTTAATAATATGGAAAAAAGTATATTGAAGAACGCAGCTCCAGGTCAGCCCTTCTAAAACTTTAATGTACATTAAAGTAACAGGGAATCTTGTTAAATTACACGTGTGATTTCATTGGAATGCCACCAAACTCCCAGGTGATGCTGACGGTGCTGGGCTGAGTATTTTTGAGCAGCAGGGTATAGAGGTTGTGGATGTGCATATATGTATGGATGTGGGTGTGTGCCTGGTGCGCATTCAGGTAGGGCAGGAAGACGCCCACAAGAAGATGGGGTGGCACATCCAGACTTTAAGGGTGTCTTAGCTTCCTTGGACTGCCATTGCCAAATAACACAAATACCCGGGGTGGCTTATTAGAACAGAAATGTATTGTTTGGAGGCTAGTCCAGAATCAGGGTAGCAGCCGTGTTGACTCCATCTCCAGCCTCTGTTCCAGGCCTGTCCCCTAACTTCTAGTGACAGATTGTAGGTAGTCCCCAGCTTACAATGGAGTTTTGCTTCAACGACTCTGTCATAAATTGGTTCTGACATAAGTTGAAAACCTTTCTTTTTCTTTTTTGAGTTTTCATTACTATTGCCTTTTCTTATCAGTATCTTTATAAATCATAACATTGAACATTTTTGAGTGGACATCTGAAATGATGGCTTCACCACACTACACACCACAGCATCGTTTATTGTACGTATTGCTAATGAGAAGATGTCCAAAGACAGACGGTCATAAGTGCAGTTTGTTGCAACTCACATACATCATAAGTCAAGGACTACCTGTACTATGTGTGTGAATCACTCCAATCTGTTGTCTTCCCTCTGTGTCATGTCGCTTTGTAAGGACACCAGTCATACTGGGTTAGGATTCACCTGACTCCCGTATGACCTCATCTTAACTTAGCTGGTGACATCTTCTAAGACCCTATTCCCAAATAAGTTACATTCATAGGTACCAGGGTTTAAGACTTCAGCATAATTTCTTGGGTGGATACAGTTCAATCCATAGCCAAGTCCTCCCTCCTTCCACAGGTGGGGAGCCCGACATGACTGTGGCTGTCAGTATCAGCTTACTGTCCAGCTTTTGGATGCCAACCAGACTGTCCTGGATAAATTCTATGTTGCCCCTGATCCTATTGAGCAATGGAACAACAATGCCTGCTTTCAGGTGAGGCTCTGACAGGGGTGTGGGGAGAGGATGGTGGAGCCCTGCTTTGGATGTCCATGACTACATTAAAAACCACCCCACAACTAAGTAGATGAAAAGCAATTTGATCCTTCATGGTTCTGTTGGAGGTTTGAGCTTCTGGCTCATGTGGTTGGATTCAGACAATGGCTAGACTGAAGGGAAGTGCAATGGAGGTTAGGGGTAAAAGGAGTAAGTGGTGGTGGTGGGAGGGCCACTGAAGCAGCTGATTACTGGCCCAACTATTCTTGGAATCTCGGGTCTTCTTTAAGGATCATTGTGTCTGGTCTAGTTTGGTTTTCTTCACAGGATGGTGGCCTCGGGGCTCCACTGGGAAAGTTCTAGAGAAACAGAAAGAAGCTGCCTTGCCTTTTCTGACCTAGTCACATGCTGAAAGTCACTCCACATCACTTCCACCACACTCTTGCTTACAAGCAAACTCACTCCAGTTCAAGGGGAAGGGGATCAGACTCTACTTTCTTGATGAGAGAGTGACAAGGTTCTAGAAGGGCAGGTGGAGCTGGATATTGAGGTAGCCTAACAGAAGGCTCCAGTTTCAACCTTTGAAGGACAGGCTATGGCCCAGTGGAGCTGACCTTTTCCTCTACCTACAGGTCACCCATGTGTTCTCCAACATCAAGACAGGCGTCCGCTTTGTGTTTTTCCAACATTGGGGCCAGGACACGCAGTTCTGGGCAGGCCATTATGGAGCCCGGGTGACTAACTCAAGCGTGATTGTGCGGATCCTACTGTCCTAGTCCAGGACTGCCCTTCTTGGGAAACAGCCTGTCTTCCATTCAGGCTGGGACTGTGGGCCTGATCCCCTCTTTGAGCAAAGGCTTCACCTCCCTCACACCCTGGAAACAACCTGGGTAAAACCGAGGCTCCTGCCAGGCCCTAACTGGAAAAAGATTGTTCTATAAGATCTACCGACTGCTGTGGCTTTAGGACAGAGAAAGTGGGTCCAGAAGAGGATTGCCCTCCTTCTCCCATCCCAAGAACCTCTGAGTTTCAGCCCAAAGCCCCTCTTTCTTGTCCCCTCTGTTGGTCTCTTGTCTCATCCTGTTACAGCTTTGCTGTGTGGGTCTCTGCCAGAAAGCCCTCTTCATCTCTGAACTAGGATCTCATCTTCACAAGGGTTCATAAAAGACCAGCGGATCTTGGGTGGTGAACTTTTTAACTTCCTGAGGCTTTTGAGCTGCCGGGCTGGGACCAGGTTCTGCCGCTGAAAATTACCGAGCTCAGAAAAAACGTTTGAAAAGAAATGCTTTCTCCCACACACAACGTCTGAAAATCAGGGGGGCCCCTTGAGCCCAACTCTGGTCTTCAAGGACCCGTAGGGTGTTTAAAATGATTTTATTTTGATTTTTTTTCCCCAAGCACTGAGAATATGTCCACAACATGTATATGCCAACCATATGTTATAAATGTTATTTTGCCAAAACTGCTGTAACTCTTTATTAAAAGCATCTCAGGGTCATAGACTTGCTTACTGTTTGGTTCAGTTGCAGAGGGAAAATATCTAAGCAAACACCAGATAATACTTGTAGAAAGAATGGAAGAATTAGAACAATATCGTTCCCTGAACCCCAAGAAAACAGAGTCTGTCACAGTGTTCAAAAGTGTGTGGTAGGTGGTATTGTTGTTGTTAAGTGCCATTGAGTCAATTCCAACCCATAGCCACCCTGTATAGGGTTTTCGAGGAACAGCTGGTGAGTTTGAACTGCCGACCTTGCAGTTCAAATGACTTTGCAATCCGGCGCAATAACCCACAGTGCCACACCAGGAGTCCAGTAGGTGATAGAGTGGGTACAAAGTGGCGTTGATCATGTGACCGTATGTCTAGTCATGAGGGTGAAATGGAAACCTACAATAATGCAGAGAGGGTCAAGCTGTCCTCAGGTCGGCCCTTGAGCTGGCGTCTGCAAACATGGATTGGAGAGTGTTCCCACCAGTTTCTTGCTGATAAGTGGCAAAGGGGGCTTTCATGATGACTAGACTGTTTGCAGACAACATTTGTGCTGAGCAACTGATTTCTCTCTTCTTGGTGCCATCGAGTCAGTACCAACTCATAGTGACCTTGCATAGGGTTTCGAGGAGTGGCTGGTGAGTTTTGTTGGTCCATTGCTTTTCCTACAGCGCCACCAAGGGACTCCGATTGTCTATTAGAAGCCTGAATTTTGGTTTGTGCTAGATAGAGGGTGCCTACATGACCAGCAGCCCGTGAAAGCCTTAGGTGCTGAGTCGGACTGAGCTTCTGTAGAGAGCATCATCACACACGTGCTGTTATACTTCTGTTACTGGGGGGCGTGTCCTCTGGAACTCCACACGTGGGACCTGGATGTAGATCCCTCCAGAGTGCCTGCGTCTTTTTCCTTTATGGTCCAGCTGTGTGGTGTGGGGCCCAGGTTTGAGGTCACCAAGGACATGACTCACACAAGCACTTGTTGGAATTACATTTGACTCATTGCGCTTCACTTCTCAGAAAGGTCAGTTCCGTATTACGGGTGCTGGTTCCCCATGGCCTGGGACTCGCTCTGCTGGGAGCTGGTCTGCATGCACCCCTTCCTGTTCCCTCCCTGCTGGGATTGGCATGGGTCATATGATGCACACTGAAGTAGGAAGCTATACAAAGAAGGTTTACTGTGTACCCTGAATGAGGAAGGAGTTTCCCTGATTAGGAAGAAGAAGAAACTGGGACAGAGGAAGGCTTGTTTCTCAGTCTCTGTTGTCAGGGAATGTTCCAGAGCCAAGGACTCTGATTAGGTAGTCCAGGTGAGGGTCCAAAGATGGCACAGTAGATGACTTTCCCAACATGCATCATTATGCCACTATAATAAATCTCAGCCAAGAGTACAGCTATGCATCAAGTCCTGGGAGAACTAGCCAATCTTCAAGCATGGGGGTTATCTTAGAGACCCCCAACAGTGGTGACAACAATGGAGTTTGCTAGTTTGACCCTGGCCCTGACTCACTGAAATATAACTATAATGTTATTCAAGAAAAAGACAGGCAAGGAATAATGAAACCTGGGCAATGGGTATGCCTATGGTATGAAACAGTACCTAAGCTGCTGTCTTGAGAGAGGTACAAGTTACCCAGGAATTTAAAATACTAGATCTAATCGCTTGTTGGATCCTTGGCTGCTCTTAGCCATGCTGGCTAAAGTGAGGGGAAAGCGCAGCCTATGTAATATCTTTGGGTTTTTTTCCTCTTCTCCAGGTGGCAGCTTTGGGTGGGCCAAAGGAAACAAAAATTCGTTTTGTGAAAGAGCACTCTAAAGCTAAGGCACTTGACTCAGTGATAATGGCTGATACAGGTCTGAGTCGGACGCCATTTTGTCCTAGGCCCCTGCTTCAGCTCTTTAGAGTACATAACCTGTGACCACACTCTTGACCAAGATAACTTGTGCACCATTCTGAGGTGGTATACTCAGAGTGTTCCGGGAACCAGCTCCAAACTGCAGGACACTAATGCTGAGTACCCTAGCTGTAATGGTCAGGGTTCTGTGTCAACTTGACTAGGCCAGGATTTCCAGAGGTTTAGCAGTTGAGATGTGGGTATTGCCATGGTGATGAAACCTAACACAGACATAGTTAGCTCTATGATGAGTGGCTATGAACAGCAAATCAAATGAAGGGATGCTTCCTTGGGGGTGTGGCCTGTTTCCAATATAGTGGACGCATGGGAGGGTCTCCCACTCTCTTCCACTGGGGACCTGGGACTCTGTAATTTTAAGTCATTTCCTTGATAATAAACATGTCTTTCTCTGTACATACATATAGGGTTCGCTGGTTTTGCTTCTCTAGAAAACAGAATGTCTAGGTAAAACTTTATAGAGCATGTTGAATATCAACTAATCAAATATACCCCCATACTCTCTCAACTCCACACAGAATTCTACAAAACAGAGTATAGAGGACATGTGCCAATACAAGCCCTTGAGAATGCCATTTTGAACTTTCATTTGAGTGTTTCTCCACTTGAAAATCTTCAAATAAAAATTACTTTACAATAACTTTCATTTTTTAACAGTTTGTAGCTGCTCTCACCTCCAGGGTGAAATGCCATAAGGTAAAAAATTCTCTGAAAATGGGCTTAAGACATCAAAAAAGGTTAAAAATTTGCATTGATCACCAACTGGAAGGAAAATATAAGGTCAAGTCAATTCCCAGCATGGCTAAGTTCTCTAGTGCTGCTATAAGGGAAGTAGTGTAAGTGGGTGGCTTTAAAACACAAATTTATTTTCTCACAGTTTGTTGTCATTAAGTGTCATTGAGTCAATTCAGACTCATAGTAACCCTGTATAGGGTTCCAAGGAGTGATCAGTGGGTGTGAACCACCAACTTTGCAGTTAGTAGGCTAGTACTTAACCCTATCCACCACTCGACTGTCAGTTTGTCAAATTGTGGTGGCTTGTGAGTTGCTGTGATTCTGAAAGCTATGCCACTGGTATTTTAAATACCAGCAGGGTCACCCATGGTGGACAGGTTTCCAACGACCTTCCAAACAAAGACAGACTAGGAAGAAGGAGTGACGAACTACTTCCAAATATTTAGTCACTGAAAACCTAATGAATAGCAGAGAAACAGTGTCAGATATAGTGCAGGAAAATGAGCCCCTCAGATTGGAAGTCACTCAAAATGCGACTGGGGCAGAGCTGCCTCCTCAAAGTAGAATTGACCGTGATGACGCAAATGGAGTAAAGCCCATGGGAAAATAGCCCACGGGACCTTCA